CCCCTGTCCCACCTGAGCACCCTGTGCGGCGTCACGCTGTGCGTCATGTACAGCTGCCCCTCGTGCACAAACGGCATCCAGTTCTTCTCCTTCACGGGGGCCCCCCTGCTGGCCGCCGCCAGCTCGCGGTAGACCGGCGCCCCAAACGACCCCAGCTTCAGCTCCCGGGGCCGCCGCAGGGACCAGCCGTCAGCAGGGTCCTCGGCGACGACCTGGGGGGGTGGAGGGCGTCGATTGGGCGGTCGGTGGGTGAGTTAGGATGCCGGTGGGGTGGGCGGGCATTTGTTGTCAGCAGGCGGGTGATGGGTACCCCTGCTGCCGGCAGACGGGGCTCGAGGCTGCAGGCCCTGCGGTGATTGGGGGTGCGTACACTGCAAAAGTACTGCGCTGGCAGGCGGGCTGGCCGCAGACAACCATCCCTGCTCCTGCATACAGGAGCCCCTACATGTCCGTGCGCCGGCATACAGCCACTTGCAAGGCTTCACACACACACAATTGCAATTAGCACGTCGTCACCCGCCCACCTGCACCAGGAACTGCACGAATATGGGGTCCCGACAGTGCGGCGACGCCCCCAGCGCCTCTGGCTTGCGGCCAAAAACGGCGTACACCCCCTTGCCCGGCCACACAAACAGCTTGGGGTCCTCTATGCCCTGATGGGTGTTGATTTACGGCATGCAGGGGGCATCATGAGCAGCAACATGAGAGGGCAGGGTTGGTGATGGCAGGGGGTTATGAAGGGTGAATGCGCGCACAGGGGGAGCGCCGAGTAGGCTATGTGGTCAGTGCTTGAGGTGTCGCTGCTCACAGCAAGGGCTCAGCCAGGCGTTCTGTCCACAGCTGCGGTGATGGTGTTGCTGCCAGTGCAGTAAGATCCGGGTTCAAGGCACTAGTGCGCCCGGCACCCCACCTTGGTGTCTACGTCGGCCGCCTTGGCCTCGCTGCCCCACAGACACTCCTTGAAATCCCTGCTCGGGGCGGCCACGCAGCACAAGAGGGGTGGGGAGGAGCAGGGGCCAACGGCAGCCGCGAGAGGTTGACAACGAACCAGCTGCGCACCACCACACGTCCCACCACTGGCGAGGCTGCTGAAACATGCTGTAATGCAGGCCCTGCCCCTGCCAGCTGCTACAATATCACCCTTGCAGCCCTGCGCACCCTTGCCAGGGGTCAAACTTGCGACATGACACGCTGGCAAAGTCTGGGGTCAGGGACATGCAGATGTAGCCCTCATTGAACCACCTTGGTTGGATGGGCGGAGCGGTGGGGATAGGAGCGGAGTAGGTGCAAGTGAGCATGTGCAGCGCAGGCCTGTCCCTCAGCACAGCGCGATGCACAAATTCAAGTTTGAGAGCAGCAGCAGCAGCAGCAGCAGCAGCAGCAGCAGCAGCAGCAGCAGCAGCAGCAGCAGCAGCAGCAGCAGCAGCAGCAGCAGCAGCAGCAGCAGCAGCAGCAGCAGCAGCAGCAGCAGCAGCAGCAGCAGCAGCAGCAGCAGCAGCAGCAGCAGCAATGCATGCACCACGGAGGCAGTCGCAGCGGACGCGTGCGCCTCCTTGTCGCCCCCTCGCCCCCCCCCCTGGGCTCCCCCTTCCAAATCTCATGCCACAGTCCGCCGCCCACCAGTTGGTCTTGTCGCGCCGCTCCATGTGCGCCGTCCGCGCGGTTGCCAGGTACACGCCCTTGTGCTTCACGGCACTGGGGTTGAAGAAGTACGGCCCCAGGGGCAGCTGCACGTCGTACGGCGTCGGCCGCGCCGCAAAGTTGCCGCCCTCTGCGCCCGGCGTGACCAGGCACAGCATGACGGCGCCGGCGATCAGCAGCGCAAGCCAGCGCCCAAGCCGCGCCGCCACGCGCCGCGCGGCGCCGCCGCCGCCGCGGCCGCGCTGCTGGTGCTCGTGGGGGCCGGCGAACAGCGCGCCGCGCGAGGCGCCGCGGGGCGTGAGGCCGCCGCCGCAGCGCGCGATGATGGGCAGCACGAGGCCGCCGCCGTTCGCGGCCGCGGCGGCGGCGCGCTTGGTCTGATGGCTGCCGCGCGCATGGATCGACGTTGGGAGGGACTGGCTCTTAGCCACGCTGGGGGTGTCGACCGCCGCCGCGCCGCTGCTGTCGCGCACGGTCACGTGCAGGTTGTGGAGCGGCTGGTGGAGATGACCCGCCGTAGCCGCGGCCGCGCTGTGTGCATGCTGCGCCGCGGCCGTGGCATTGAGGCTAGCAAAGCCGTTTGGGGGATCCAGGGGTGCGGCGGCCCGTGGGCCCAGCTTCCTCTGCTGTGCCGGGGTCTGCGACGCCCAGTCCAGCCAGCTGTGAGCTGATGTCCCGCGCACGCGCCCGATCGCCGCCTTGCACGTGTGCAATTTCAGAGATCTGTGCAGCACCCGCAGGGTGTGCTCCCCCGCCTTGTTGTGGAATGTAGGCGGCTTTGCAGGCCGGCAGGTGGTGCAGCGGCGCTATGGCCGATGTGCGCTCGACAGGCTCGCAACTCAGCCACTCACAGCGGCGCAGCCGCACGGGTTTTGTGTTTGATGTATGAAGCGATACACACGAGCCCTAAAGGACGCTCAGAGACGGCCAAAGTCACGCACAACTGTTGCTCGGTCACAAGGGGCGTTTACCATCCCAATTCGCAATATGTGAGCTATAAATCGTTGGCTTTGTATTGTCAATCGTGATGCAAGACGGCCGTGCAGCGCCGTTGCAGTGATTATTGGAGGCAGCTGCGCAGCGGTCCAATTAGGCGAAACGGTGCATCAAGTGGCCTCAAAACTATGCTTTTGCATTTAGGAGGTCATCCGGGACCTAGAGGCCATCAATCAACCCAAAACGGTTTCCGGCAGCTCATCAATGCGACTCCCCTCGCCCAGGCAGGCGTTAAACGGGTTCATGGACTGGAAGCCCGACCTTTTTAGACATCATAACATTGCAATTTCGCCTATGAGGCACCACCCACTTCTTGGCGCCGAGAGGGCCAGCTGTTCCATGCAACCACTGAGTTCTCCCTTTGGGCGTGCTGTGGGAACTTGGTGACGAAGGACCTGACCGGCTCCTGTGCTTTGCTCGGCAAACACCAATGTCTTTGGGTATGAGGCCAGCCAAGGCCGGCAATGTGGGGTCTCCGCCCTCAGACTCTTGAGGGCAGAACATACGCGCATTTGTAGCTCTCTTGTGCGTGCAGAGCACCTCAGCCGGCTTGATGCAGGGATGGGCATTGAAAGTGCCTTGTGGGCCATCGCGGAAGTTGGAGGCAAGCCAGTAAGGCGAGTTGGTGTCAAAGAGACGGTAGGTCAGGCACTCCACACAACCGTGTCTTGCGTGACAGAGACCTATGAGCCGTTTCCCACCTGACAAAGCAAGCTGACTCAAAGCAGAGCAACTTCACTTTGATGTCTTCAACAGCCATAACATGGGCCAGAATGAGGTGGTGCAAGGTCAACGCACGGTCGCTGCGACGTTGGCGTGTTGTGTGCAAATGGGTCGGTTGGGCGACAAATGTATGGCTGGATTTTCAGCACGCCTCACCGTGCAGTCACCGTGAGCGGCCTGCTCGCAGAGCATGGCGCGCTCAGGTCCACCACCAGAGCACTCACTAGGCACCGTGTCCGCTACGATTGTGCAGACGTGCGGGGCAGGCAAGTCACCTGTATTCACCTTGAAATGGCATATGACACCAAATTGCAATCGCCTTTGTGCCGACATTTCAGATAATTTATGTACACACACCTCTGAACATGCACGCAGCGACGAGCGCTTGCTTGTTTACCGGGTGGCCTGCAGAGGGGCCAGACACGACTCTGCACACGAGAAATGTGTCAGCAAGCAACGGTATGCATCAAGTATGTTGGTTGTCCCTGCCCTTACACCACTTGTGCGGTCACCATATGGCAATGTGCGCTCGCACCTGGGTGTATGTGGCCGAAGGTGCAGCGTTCCATCATGATTCAGGTGCGCCGGCCACGCCCCACTGTTCAGTCATTGCTGCGTGACCGCAGCATAGGGCAGTACTGGTACCATACTGTATCTTACACGCGTGCGACGGTATAATCATTTGAATCGTCCATTATAACACCGTTTCTGATATTGGTACGGTTCCTGTGCTGCGTATTTTTGAAACAACAGTCTGATCTCGCAGGACTCTGCCTCGCATCAAATGGAACAGCACGAAAAGCAGTGCCACGGCCCGAAAATTGGTGACGCTGCGTCGCTGTGAGCACCGCAGCAACGGAACCCGCCATGCCCTGTGCTGCAGTGGCAGCAGTGGGGCTCGCGGTGTTCGTGCGCACTGCTCAGCCCGCCCCGCACAAATCCGACCCGCTCGCTGCCAGATGGAATTTCACGCCATCCCCAGGCTGGACCAAGGAGGAGGTGCAAATCCTGAGGCTGTGCGTAATGAAGCACGGCGTTGGCGCGTGGGGCCAGATCGCTGCGAGTGGCCAGCTGGCTGGCAAGACGTCGCAGCAGCTCAGCAGCCAGACGCAGCGGCTGCTGGGCCAGCAGTCCCTGGCTGGTGCGCGCGCCTGTCCCCGACCCTCGGCGCACGCTGATTCGGCCGGGCCAAATCTCTGGGCTGCTGCTGATGCTGCTTTAGTCGTGCACGCTGCCCTCGAGCCAGAAGCAGCTGCGCCCCGGCTCGCGCCACCGACCGCCCACTGCCCTCCCCTGCACTCTTCTTGCTCAGCCTTCACCGGCCTGAAAGTCCACGTGGACCGCGTGCGGCGCGACAATGAGGCGCGACCCGACGCCCAGCGCAAGGCCGGCCTCATCATACGCAGCGGCCGTGAGCGGGGCCGGTTGTCAGGGCGGGACGCGCGACCGCGTCGGGCCGCGCGTTCTAGCAGCAGCGGCATTGTTTTCAGCCATCCCGCCGACCTGTCCCACCCACCCCATTGCGGCCCCTTGGAACCTCAGCCAACCCTACAAAGGAGATGAGGGCGGCGTGGCAGCGAGAGGCACGTGCGAGGTGAGGGGGTGGAGTGACAGTGCACGAGCCCTGCCTTTTAGGGTTGCTGCTGGCCTCCCTCGGGTCCGCGGCCTTTTATGTGCATCAGTCAAAGTTTCCATGCGCTTTTCCAACTGTTCCCTGCTTTGCGCTTTACATTCCAAGAGTGGGTGGGCAGGCAGGTGCAAACGTGTGTGTGGGGAATCGGCTGGGTTGGGCTCAACATTGGGTGTCAAGGTGTCTTGCCTACTAGAACTTGGTGCGACCACTTGTCACACGACAGGTACGGCCTGACTGACGCTGACCTGGCAGAGGTGGACGAGCAGCTGGCGCAGCTGGCCGCACCACCTGACGCGCGCGGTGGCGGAGCGGGCTACGGCAGCGGCTTGGGCGGTGCCAGTGGCAGTGGTGCCGGCGCGGGCGACGGTACGGCCGCTGCAGGGGTGCTGCCTGACGGTTTCGACATCCTTGGTGGGTCCCCGGGTGTGGAAGGGATGGGGGAAGAGGCTGCGGGAGACTTGATGCGGCGCTTGATGCGCCACGTGGGGACGCCGGCTCATACGGCACCATGCGGCGCTCCAAGCGCACCACGCAATGCGCTGCATGAGGCGAACACTGCAAGGCTTCTCGGCAGGATTGCGGCACACGCTTGGCAGGATGGCTTGTCCTCCTGCTCCTCTGACCAAGCGCAACGGTTGTGTTTCCTCAAACCCATGCGTGGCGTAGCCGCATCCGCGGACGGCCTCACGCACACCCAGCAGATGGAGCTGCTGTGGCGCCTGCACGAAAACCTGGCGCAGCTGCTGCAGCGACTGCTGGAGCGCGTCCCCGGTCTGCAGGTGGCGGCAGGCATCCCACTGGTGGCGCCTGCAGTTGCGGCGCCGGGCGCGGCAGCAGAGGAGACTGTCACAGCCAACCAGAAATCGGGGGCGGTACAGGCAGGACCCAGGTTGGATACGGCCGCAACAGGTGTGGATACCAGCATAATCAACGAGCAGCAGCAGCAGCAGCAGCAGCAGCAGCAGCAGCAGCAGCAAGAACAGGCAGTGCAGGCGCCAGCCTCCCAGCACCTTCAACGCTGGCCCTGGCCGCACATTTCTGCTTCAGAAGGACTGCCACCACACTCAACGGGGGCCGGTACGGCCGCTGCCTCCACCGGGTGAGCCGGGGCGGGAACGGGTCAGCTTGACAGATGACCCCTTGCAAACCCTGGCCTGAATCACTGTGAAGTGTGTTCTGCTGTTCTTTTGCTGTTGGTTTCCTCAGAAGTCATGAATGCACCTCGCGCCCTGATTCTGCAGGGACGCGTGGCTCGGTGTGGCGCACACAACCAGCATCACTCCCAATGGGCTTGGCAAGCCAACACCGCCTGCTGGCAGCGGCGGCGCGGGCGGCAGCAGCAAACCCAAGAAGAGAGGCGGCAAGCGCCCGTCGGCCGGCGCGCTTCCAGGGTGAGAAGTTGTGACCTGTGAGGGGGCGTGTGCTTAGTCTTGCGGCATGCTGGCCAACTTTGGCACCTGAGCCGGAATCTTGGTCCGGCACCGTGTTCTGCTGAATAGCCCTTGGTCCGAGCAGCACCGGCCATCTCGTACATTACCGCAAACCCTGCAGCGGCGAAAGCAAGGTGCCTGCACGTGCCCGGCGGCGGGGCGCGCCAGACGGCGCTTGCCCGGCTGCCGCCGTCGCGGTGGCTGCGCGCGGCGAGGCGTGGCGCGCGATGGTGGCTGCTGACGTGGCTGAGCTGGTGGACATGGGTTTCTGCGCGGCAAAGGCAGCGGAGGCTTTGAAGGAGACCGGCTACTGCGGCGCCAACGCGGCCGGCAACTGGCTGGCGACACACTGCATGTGATGGTGCGGCCGCCTGGTCAAGGGGTGGGCCTGCAGACTGGACGCCTTGTGTTGGACAAGGGCGGCAGTGGCATGAAGTATGGAAGAGCGATATCCCCTTCTGCGTTTGCCGTTCAATACGGTAGGTATCGAGCACTTGATCGCGTTGAGCACATTCGGCACGGGATGACTGGTCTCCCCGAACCTCGAGAGCAGGGTGCTACGTGATGAAAAGATGTGGCACGAAATTTTCAGACGCCTTATGACCTGGATCCTTCCCCGTGAATGCCGCCGTCGCAGACGGCTGAAGGCCTCAAGTCCACAGCAGCTGCCGATGTACGTACCGGCGCCATTACCGCGCTCCTTCCCGCCGCTGCGCCGCCAGCAGCAACACGTCCCTCCTTTGCAAGGCCGCTGCAGAGCCAAGTCTTTCTGCATTTGATGATTGGATGCGCGGCACCGAACGCATACAACCTTCCGAATCCAGTCTTGCATCCAGGGCAATCAGCAAACTCTCACTGCAATCCAGACGTTCGGAACAGCCGCCGCCTTGCCAAAGGTCAGTGAGGCCGCTTGGAACCGTGAACGTTCTACAATAGTCACTGACTGCTCGGAATACGCTGCAGGCACCCCTTCCTGGGCATCACCCTGCAGGGTGCAGCCACGCACGTCATGCTGGCACCTGCCCCACATTCCGCTGGGTGCCCCATGGCCTCCGCCGCCTGCCCCCTGTGCCCCTGCGCCATCCCTCCCAGGCATGAAGCCAGGCAAGGCCGCCGCCAAGCACAGGAAGCCCTCAGCCGCTGCCACCAGCACCTTCACAAGCGCCGCCGCCAAGAAGCGCCCGGCCGCCGCCGCGCCCGCCGCTGAACCCTCCGCCAAGTGCGCTGTGGCAGCCGCTGCGCCCCTGCCAGCCGGCAACAAGACGCAAGAGCGCCGCGACAACAAACGCCGCCGCAAGCGCAGCAGCGGCAAGAGCAGGATGGCGCTCGACGAGTCGGCGGCCCCCGCCGTGGCGGAGGGCGCCGAGCAGGGCGCAGCGCGGGCGCCCCCGCCGCCAGCGGACCGGCGGCTTCCGGTGACGCTGCTGTCAGGCTTCCTCGGTGGGTGGGTGGAAGCGCTGCCTTAATCGCAGCCAAGCCATGACATCTGCGCTGCGTGCCCCCAGCCGCCTGGTGCTGGCCGTTCGTGCACCCCTCCCCATCATCATGCACGCACACTGGTTTGCTCTCCCATCTGCCGAGCACACAGCCACCCAACAGCCCCCCAACAAATGGAAACGCCCAGGTGCCGGCAAGACGACGCTCCTCAAGAAGATCCTGGCCAACACTCAGGGCATGAGGGTAGGGCCAAGGCTGGGGGCGCAGGGGTTGGGAGTGAAATGTTGAGGGGGCTGCTTCACACATGGCCCGGCCTGCCAGGAGACCGGCTCCGCTGCTGCTGCGCTTGGCATGCGTTGGGTCGCCAATCGCCGCGCCGCCTTGGCTGCATCAGGTTCCAGAGAGGCCGCAGGCAGCTCCCGCAGCATGACCTTCACACCTGTCCAGGCGGAACCGCTGGGTCTGAGTATTTTACGCCATTCAACCTCGACCCTAAGTGAACTCCCAATATGATCTTTTGTACTCTCTCCCTCTCTCTCTACCTCTACCTCTCCCTCTCTCTCTCTCTCTCTCTCTCTCTCTCTCTCTCTCTCTCTCTCTCTCTCTCTCTCTCTCTC